CCTCTTCCTGCCCCCCCCCCCCCCCCCCAACTTTATTACTGAGATATAATTGAAATGTACCATTGTATAAATTGAAGGTGTACAGCATGTTGATCTGAAACAGTTATAAGTTGCAAAATAATTATCACTATAGTAGTAGCTACGGCCTCCGTCTCATCATATAGTTACATTATGGTGAGAACATTTAAGGTCTGCTCTCATGACTGCATTCAAGTCTATGGCACAGGGTTATTAGTCATCATCAACCATGCTGTGCATCAGACCTCGCAACCTGTTAACAAAACTTCTCTTTTAACAATCTTTCCGCGCCGTGGGTGAAATGCAATTGAAGAGGCCTAAGTTGTTTTACTCAGAGTCGGAATCTGATAACAGGTCTTTAGGTTAAATTCACGTCTCCTAGACAGGATGTCACACTTTTCTGAAAGTCTCCCTTTTTACATAACCTTTAAGGGTATGTCCTTTTTCAGGGGTTGATCTCAGGTGTCTTATTTTGAAACTTCCTAAAGTCGTCCCGGGAGGGAACCGCAGTGCCCGTTTCCTGGATGTCTGTTTCTCCTCCCAAGATGCCCACCTCTCCCAGCCCCGGCCCATGTCACCCTCAGCTCTCGCTGCGCCCTCTGCAGGGAGCGTTCTTCCTCCAGAATCTGCACAGTTGTCTCCTCAGCTCCTTGAGGTCTCTGCTCATGTATCGCCTTCTCAGTGAGACCTTCCCTTGTCACCGCATTTGAAACCACTCCCTGCCACCCTTTCCTATTTTCTTTTTCCAGCACTTGGCACCAGCTGAAACGCGGTATAGTTTGATTACTCATTAGTTTTCTCTCTGTCTGCCTTCCACAGTGGTTCTCAACCTTGGCTGCACATTCGAATCAACCTCGAGGACCCTTTTATTTCTGTGTGTCCAGACAGTTTCAGTCTGATGACTCTAAGGACAGCGCCACCTGAGAACACCGCATAAATCAGAAGCCTCGAGGACCCTTTTATTTCTGTGTGTCCAGTTTCAGTCTGATGACTCCAAGGACAGCGCCACCTGAGAACACCGCATAAATCAGAATGCCATTTTACTCATGTACGGCGTGCCGGCAAAGCCCCCTCCCGCAGCTACTACTTAATGAGGTTGCTTTCCGACCCTGCAATCATCTGGGTGATTTCAGTGACCTAAGCACCCCCAGATATACCAATCTTTATGATGAAAATGAAAGCTAGCTGCGAAATAACCCCTTTTCAAGTCCATTGATCAGTAAACCCTTTCCCAGGAACGCTGTTGGAAGCACATTGCCTCATTTTTCTCTCAGACCCTGTTGCATGAATCCTTTTCAAACCAAGCCCTTCTTCTCCCCGCCCCCAACTTTATTACTGAGATAAAATTGAAATGTACCATTGTATAAACTGAAGGTGTACAACATGTTGATCTGAAACAGTTATAAGTTGCAAATGATTCACTATAGTAGTAGCTACGGCCTCCATCTCATCACATAGTTACGTTATGGTGAGAACATTTAAGATCTGCTCTCATGACTGCATTCAAGTGTATGGCACAGGGTTATTAGTCATCATCACCATGCTGTGCATTAGACCCCGAAACCTGTTAACAGAGCCCTTCTTTAATATGTCTTTCCGCGCCGTGGGTGAAATGCAATTGAAGAGGCCTAAGCTGTTTTACTTAGAGTCAGAATCTGATAACGGGTCTTTTTTAAAAATATATATTATATTGGTTTTTTACAGAGAGGAAGGGAGAGGGATAGAGAGTTAGAAACATTGATCAGCTGCCTCCTGCACACCCCCCACTGGGGACGCGCCCACAACCAAGGTACATGCCCTTGATGGGAATAGAACTTGGGATCGTCCAGTTCTCAGGCCAATGCTCTATTCACCGAGCCAAACCAGCTAGGGTCTACATGGTTGCTTTTACTAAAAAATATTATTGCCATCCTAGTAAGTGTTGAGTGCTATTGACTTGACCTTTACTGACTTGAACTGGAATGCCATAAGGGAAATCTCTTCTATCCTCAGCCTTCAAACAGCCTCTGCCAAATCTCTCAGGCCCCTGGTAGGAATGGGCTCCTGCATGTGGTGTGAGCAAGGATGGACTCGAGTTTTTCACTTTCCAGTGACTAACCTTGCTAGTTCCTTGGGTGAATGGATTCTCTCAAACAAACAAACAAACAAACAACAACAACAATAAAACCAGTTCACAGTATCTGCCCACTATGAACATAGATACTTTTCCTATGGGCTGAACCTGGCCTTGCCCTTTCAGACAGGCTTCCATTCTTATGTTGAGAGCAGCTAGATTCCTTCTGTCCACTTTTCTGGATTCCTACCAGAGAAACACTCTCACCTTTAGAGGGTTCTCTTAGGACCCTGGGAGGAATTTGATTTGCCTTTGTCAGCAACAGGCATTTAGGGTGGTTTATTTTATACAGTTTGCCGACCATGGCACTAGATCAAGGCTTCATGAGGGCTGGGGGTTTGTTTTGTTCACTGACTTACAAAGACACCCACCCCAACAATGACATGATGTAAAAAGCGATGGGCAAGAGCATCTTCATCCAGGCTGCCCAGTGGTCCACGTGGGTCACATCTTCCATCAACAGGAAACAGTCCTCTTTGTCCGCACTTTTCTCCTTGTATCCCATTTTCCCCTGAAGCTGTTTTGGCTGATGTTTGTTTTCTGTTGGCCTTTATGTGGTTTATAGTTCGTGATTTCTTAATTCAACTGCCCTGGGACGTTTTGTTTCTAAGTATAGGTTTGGTAAATAAAATATAGCTGGCTTTTGCCTTTTTAGCCAAATTCAACCGGCTACTTTCACCTGCTTATGTTTATTGTGATGGCCGTCATGGTGTTCGGAGGTGTTCCTCCCGTCTGGATTTATGTTTTCCATTTATCATTCCCCATTTCCCCCTTCGAGCTGTTGGCTGGTTTGTGCTCTTCGTTGCTGCTAGTACTTTCCATTTTCCCTCGAGGTGTGCATTGCATTTCAACACAACTGCACAGTGTAAATTCAGATATAAACTTGTGCTTTTCTCAATATCTGAAATTTCTCTGTCTCTCTGTTTGTCTCAGGGACCTTAGCACACTTTTATTTTGTCTTTCCAGCTCCCCTACCACTTCAAATGTTGAAATCAACTGAGAGTTTCATTCTGCATCACTATTAATCGTTTTTATTATCAGCATTTATTTAAATCCTTCTCTTTTTGTTTTGTTTTGTTGCTCATCACTGTTTCTTATACTCATGCTTAGTTCTTGGATCCCTTTTTAGTTAACCATCCTCTAATGATTTTTTTTAGTGAGAATTCAAGATTTGTTTTTATTATCAGCATTTATTTAAATCCTTCTCTCTCTCTCTTTTTTTTTGTTGTTGCTCATCACTGTTTCTTATACTCATGCCTAGTTCTTGGATCCCTTTTTAGTTAATCATCCTCTAATGATTTTTTTTAGTGAGAATTCAAGATTGGGGGCTTTCTGAAGTCCTTTGTTTTCCTTCACAGTCAAATGGCAATTTGGGTGCAGAATTCTGGGTTACCAGGTCCTTTCTCTGACCTCTGTGAAGAGCGTGCCCCGTGGTCTCTTTGCATGCAGTGCTGCTGAGAGATGACACTGCCCCTCTGTGTCTCATTTCTGTTTGAGGAAATGCCTGTTTTCACTTCCTGGATGTTTTAGGGAGTTTTTTCTTTTTACTTGTCTTTCTGACATTTATATCAGTGAGTCTAGGTACGTTATTTGTGTGTGTATTCTTCTCTCTCCTCCAGTCACTTCAATCTGAAAAGTCTTATAGTCAAGCTCAGGGTTGTCACATTGATAATTATTTTGATAATTAAAAATGAATTTCCTTTCCTCCAGCATAGCCATTCTTTCTTTCTGGAACTTCTAGTTTCAGAACCACCGGTGCTGTCCTTCACCTATTGTAACGGTCCATTCAGTCTCAATCTCTGTCTTTAGGTTCTGGGTTCTGGAAGACGTTGCCAGTGCAGTCTGTGAGCTCGATC